CCCCCCCCCCCCGGAGCCAACGGGGCCCCCCCGGGGGTCCCCAAATGCAGGATCCCCAAATGGGGGGGTCCCCAAAACCTTCCTCTCCCTCCTGGCAGGGGCTGCACCGACGTCGTCTGCTGCGTCCTGCTGGTCGTGGCCATCGTGGGCTACGTGGTGGTCGGGGTCGTGGGTACGTGCCCAGGGTGGGGTGGGGGGGTCATGGGAGGGAGGGGGGTGGTTTGGACCCTGTGCTGAGGGTCCCGCCCCCCTGGAAGGGTTGTGGGGGCTGCAGTGGCTCCAACCCCACCCTGTGCCCCCCCTCACCCCCTCCCCCCCCCAGCCTGGACCCACGGGGACCCCCGCAAGGTGATCCACCCCACCGACAGCCGGGGGCAGTTCTGCGGGCAGCAGGGGACCCCCAACGAGTGAGTGCCCCTCACACCACCCCCTCCCCTCATTGGGAGCCCCCCGTGGGGGGGGGCAAGGTTGGCCGCAGGGGGGTCCCCCCAAACCGGCGCCGTCCTCGCTCCGTCCCGCAGGAAGAAGCCTTTCCTCTTCTACTTCGACATCGTCAAGTGCGCCAGCCCGCTGGTGCTGCTGGAGTTCCAGTGCCCCACCACGCAGGTACCACCCCCTGGGCCCCTCCTGCCTGTGGGGGAGGGCACAGAGAAATGGGGGGGGTCCCTACAACAACCCCCCCTTCAACCCCCCCCCGTGTCCTCCCCGCCCCCAGATCTGTGTCAGCAAATGCCCCGAGCGGTACCTGACGTACCTGACGGCCCACGCCGCGCCGGGGGAGCTGCGCTACTACCGGGACTTCTGCGTGCCCTCCTTCGACCCCCGCAAGGTGGGCGGCGGGGCCGGGGGGTCCCTGCCGCGCCCGGAGCGCTGACGGCCCTCGCTGTGTCCCCCCTCATCATCATCATCATCCTCCTCCTCCACAGGCCCCCCTGGAGGTGCTGAAGGACAGGGAGTGCCCGGCCATGCTCATCCCCAGCACCCCACGTAGGTTGATTAGCGGGGGGTCGCTGGGGGCTCCTGTTTTGGGGGGTCTCGTGGTGAAGGGGGGTGGGGGGGGGGCTTTGGGCCGGGTTTTCCCGGCTGAGCCACCCCCTCCTGTCCCCCCATCCAGTGGCTCGGAGGTGCTTCCCGGCCATCCAGGCCAAGAAGGGCGTCATCATGGTGGGCAACGAGACCACCTACGACGACGGCCGCGGGCGCCGCAGGAACGTCACCGAGCTGCTGGAGGGGGCCAAGTGAGTCACCAAACCGCTCGAGGAGCTGCTGCCCACGAGGGGGGACGAGCGGGTTCCACCCGAGCCGGGGTCTGGTGTCGGGAATCCCGCCCCAAAACCTGGATCCTCCATCCCCGCCGGGCTCCTCAGAGCTCCCACTCCATCGCTGCTCCCCCTCGGAGCTCCTGCTCCATCACTGTCCCCCTCGGGCTCCCCGGAGCTCCTGCTCCATCGCTGTCCCCCTTGGGCTTCCTGGAGCTCCTGCTCCATCACTGTCCCCCTCGGGCTTCCTGGAGCTCCCGCTCCATTGCTGTCCCCCTCGGGCTCCCCGGAGCTCCTGCTCCATCACTGTCCCCCTCGGGCTCCCCAGAGCTCCTGCTCCATCACTGTCCCCCTCAGAGCTCCTGCTCCATTGCTGCTCCCCCCCTGCCTTGCAGAAAAGCCAACGTGGTGCTGGAGACCCGGCAGCTGGCCATGAAGATCTTCGAGGACTACACGGTGTCCTGGTACTGGATCATCATGTGAGCACGGCCCTCCCTTCCCACGGCATTCCCGGGATTCTTCCTCCCCCGGCGGCGTTTCCCTGGGCTCTGTTTTGGGGTGCCCCGTGGGTGGCACACGGGGAGGGGAGGGCTGTGACACGTGGGGTGCCTTCCTCCCCCCCGCAGAGGCCTCGTCATCGCCATGGTGGCCAGCCTGGTGTTCATCGTCCTGCTGCGCTTCCTGGCCGGCATCATGGTCTGGGTCATGATCGTGATGGTGATCCTGGTGTTGGGATACGGTGAGCAGGGAGCCGGGGGGGGGGGGGAATCGAGAGGGTCTCCCTGGCTTTTCCCTTTCTTTAAGTGGGATTTCTCGCTCTGGGTGCCTTCCCCCCCCAAGGTCGACACCCGTGGGGATGCACCGGCATTCCGGCTCCGCTTCTCCCTGCAAACAGCACAAACTTCCTGCTCCTTTCCCTCCCCCCCAGGGATCTTCCACTGCTACATGGAGTACGCCAAGCTGAAGGGGGAGGCGGGTTCCGACGTGTCCCTGGCCGACCTGGGCTTTCAGACCGACCTGCGCGTCTACCTCCACCTGCGGCAGACCTGGCTGGCCTTCCGTGAGTCCCTGGGCGTGGGACGGGGCCCCTTGGAGGGCCAGGACCCCCTTGGAGGGCCAGGACCCCCTTGGAGGGCCAGGACCCCTTGGAGGGCCAGGACCCCCTTGGAGGGCCAGGGCCGTGGGGAGGGGGAGCACAGGGGGGGCTTTGCCCGGTGCCACCGCCCCGAAGGTGAAAGTTGCCACCCCCTTTATCCCCTCGCAGTGATCATCCTGTGCGTGCTGGAGCTGGTGATCGTCCTGCTGCTCGTCTTCCTGCGCAAGAGGATCCTCATCGCCATCGCGCTCATCAAGGAGGCCAGCAGGTGCGGGGTGGGGGGCGCTGGGGGGCTGAGGGTGGGGGGTGGATCCCGGCCCCGCCGTGGGTTTTAACCGCCTGTTGTTGCAGGGCCGTCGGTCACGTCATGTCGTCGCTGCTCTTCCCGCTCTGCACCTTCTTCCTGCTGTGCCTCTGCATCGCCTACTGGGCCAGCACGGCCGTGTATCCTTCCCTCTGCCCCCGTTCCCCGGGCAGGGAGCTGCCTGCCGCTCCAGGGGCTCCCCCGGGGGGCTGGATGGGATCCACTCGCGCCCCAAATCTCCCAAATGTGGCCCCAAATCTCCCAAACGTGGCCCCAAATCTCCCAAACGTGGCCCCAAACCAGCCCTGGGCGCGGGAGGGGCAGGAGTTGGGGGGGTGTTTGGAGGGAGCGGGGCAGAGGCCGCTTTGGGGTTGGGGTTGGGGTTGTTGGGGGGTCACTCCTTAACGTTCCCGCCGCAGCTTCCTGTCCACCTCCAACGAGGCCGTGTACAAGGTGTTCAACGAGTCCTCCTGCCCCTTCTCCGGGCAGACCTGCAGGCCAGAGGTGAGGGCAGGGAGGGAGGGAGGGAAATATGGGAGGGGGGGGGGCCCAGCGGAGATGAGACCCCCTCGTGGCACGAGAAGGCG